CACTTATTGTGAAGGTATACATCCTGCTGACTGTTGCTTTGGGTCACGGTTCTGATTTCCCACAATGCTTTGTGTCTGCTTACGTAGCAGGAAGGTAATGTTTAGAACTCCCTGCCCCAGTAAAAACAGTAAACGTTTGTAATCCATACTAAAATTTTGTATGTATTGATTTATTTTACAATCTGAGCTCCTTTTTAAAATAAAAAATAAAAAGTTTAAACGCTGGAGCTCAATACTTGATGTAATTGGTCGAAGCAACGAGGTTAGAGACTCAGAAATGATTTAAAGATGTTATGCTGATGAAGACTGACATCTAGTGGTCAACTGGCTCAACTACATGGAAAACTTTAAAATCCAAGCTCTTATTTTGAAGGGAAGATTGTTTCCTGTGCTCCGTGCTTTCGTTTCTCATGACAAATTAAATCCGTCATGCACCCAGAATGCATTGCTTCAGTTTTCCAATAAACAGTTTTAAAATTACTTTATTGATGCTTCTTTAATGAAAAATCAACAACAAACAAAAGAAAAAGACAAAGAAGCAGCCGAACTAGCAATCCTCAACAACTTTTTAATTTTTACACCAGGAGCTAAAGGTCTGTTTCAGGAAATCACATCCCCAGTAATCAGCGGTTGTAGGATTAAGTTGTAAAAGAGTTCATACACCGCTAGTTGGCAGTGTTGTACATATATTGTACATGAATTGTCAGCTAGTAAGTGTCAAATTGAACTTGCACTTTACAATTAGCTTCTGCTAGTTTTTCTATAGCATAAGTGTTTTTGAAGTTGCGGACCTAAATATTTTAATCAGCGCTTTAGAAATTGCGGAGCTAATTTTAGGATTAGCGCTGCCCACCACTGCAGTTCAGAACACCCATTCAGAAGAAGACAGACCATAACAAACATTGGAGAACCGGTGCCCCGGGTCATGCAGCCACTGACCCTGCACAAAGCATTAATTAAGAACGAGAAAGAGACAAAACCGTCCAGTTTCTTGTCAAATAGTGAGCAAAACTTGCTCATGTACATATTACATCTAAAGGTGCTATAATAAACATTTCAGACTAGATTTCTACCAGCGCAATAATGATTTAGAAACACATATTTTACATATGTTATTGTATAACTGCATTATACATATCCACTATTATCAAAGGGAGCCTTATTGTAAAGTGTAAGACAGGTACACAATTTATTAATGACCAGTGTTGTATAAAGTATCACAAAGTGATACTTGAGTAAAAGTACAAGTATTTTGCCAAAAAATTACTTTTGTAAAAGTTAAAGTCTCC